TGCTGCTACAATTCCTCCTAGCCATCTACCCTTTGCTGCTTCACCAACCATAGCATGTATCTGTGCTGGAACAACTACAACATAAATAGAAATACATCATATTATTATTATCTGTCACCGTAAGTTACAGCGTGCCATATTTTTGTAGTATTTCACGGGGTATTTTTATCCAACCATATTAGGAAATGCGAATCCAAGTATGGAACGATTACACGTGTAAGCGTCCTCTAATAATAAAAACAAACATGACAGCCCCCAGGGTTTGATAGACATTTGTATCTGATCGTCAAAACGAGTATTGAGAGATATTGCTCTGGAACAGCATTAACTAAACCAAAGTCAGCCATTTTGAATACATGTATAATGAATATATAAAATGTTAACATAATCAGTCAAAGCATGTCAGAGATACGGCTCTAGAACCACATTCATTAAAACAAAATTGCCGCTAGTCAGCCATTCTGAATCCGATCTGCAAAATAAAATGATATGCATCAGGAACCCGTAATGTCTAATGTATATACTAAGTTTGAACAAAATCCATCTGTAAACAGCCGAGAAAAGCTTGATTTTGATGATTTTTAAGCACACCATTTTGGCCATCTTGAATCCGATCGTGAAACATACATTTGTATGTATAATATCATGTATGATGTATGTGTGAAGTTTGATTGCGATTGGTTCAGGCATATCTAAGATACGGACACATGGTCGCACAAAGGTCAAAACATAAGTCCCCGTTTTCTGACTGCGTCCTAACGGGGACTAACAAACATGGCAACCCCAATGGTTTGACCGGACCCCACACAAAGAAGTTCTAGATTTGTCCTAAACTTTTTGGATTACGGCATTCCCATGATGTATCCTTGGGAGGCAAAGATGTATAATAATAATCAAAGACATTATGTAGGGAGTCTTCGCTGTATTTTACGCCACCAGCAAATCATACACCTCTCGTCCCATTTTCAAAGCATTGACTGAACGAATTAATAAATTAGACATGCCACAGACAAACTTGAATATTTGAATATTGTTGTATTCTTAATGTATGTGTACATTGAACGCTTGAACATTTATAGTGATACTTAAAACAGTAGAAAGACAAACTGATCGTTATGACCTCATTTAATTGGGATAATCTGATTCACACAACTCAGGCCATATCACCATATTCAGCTCCAAGAAACAGTTTAGAACATGTTACAGATTTTAAACAAAATGGCCGTCATTTCGACAAATTTAATCAAATCTCACGACAAAACATGTTGTTGTGTTACCTTGCTGTATACCACCTATGTACAAACTTTCAAGTGAATCAGACCATATCTTTAAGCGTAATCGACACAAAAAAAGGAAAAAAAAACAAGATGGCAGCCAGTCGGCCCAAATTTTGAAAAAAGTATGACAGGCACAAGTAACCCAATATACGTCATCATCATTTCGATTGAAATCACCCTATTCAGTCCTATTAAAGAAACAGTTCGGGACACGTTACAGATATTTAATCAAAATGGCCGCCATTTCGACAGTTTTTTTCAAATTGCAAAACTAAACATGGTGTAGTGTTATTTTGAAGTATAGTAAATGTACCTATGTACAAACTTTGAACCCCTTAATATATCGCAAAATATGTATAATAATTGTTTATAATTAAATATAATCTTGATAAAATAATAACTTACCAACAACACAAAGTACTAAATACATCAAATTGGTTCCAAACCATGTTATGTTAAGTAGAATTAGATTCAAGTAACTAAGTGGTTCCATGTCATGTAAATTGTCATTTCGTAGTGATTCTTGTGAACTGAAAGAAAAAAGCATAGATATATAAATCTTAAAAGATCAAAATGACATAAAACAAGATTAACTTAAATTATAGTTAATGCTTCAATAAATGACACAAGACAAAAGGTTTTGGCAAAAGTGGTGGGGGGAGCGAGTTGCGGACACAGGGGGAGCGAGTTGCGGATGCAGGGGGAGCGAGTTGCGGACGCAGGGGGAGCGAGTTGCTGACGCAGGGGGAGCGAGTTGCGGACGCAGGGGGAGCGAGTTGCGGACGCAGGGGGAGCGAGTTGCGGACAGCTCCATGATGCGACTTGCCTGTGAATTGCATCACGACGCTGAGCGCATTGTACCTGGTCGCAACCTTCCACCAGCAGAGACTGTACAGGTGGGCGTCATGGTGTCCCCCTGGCGAGAGCCTGCAGATAGACTCACAAACCCAGGGGGATGGACAGTGTGGGTACCCGTGTAAAGTCTGCTTGGTCTGCCTATTACCTGTCTATTGCTAAGGTTGTTCACAAGCAAATAAACATGAGTTAAACTTAAGTGAGATCGGTAATGGTATAGAAAGTGGTTATATGGAGACCTGTGCATGAATGGGTGGGTGGGTGATAGGTCATCTGAGACGATGTGTATCGTACGGTGCGGAAAAACAAACTGATGCTTGAAGGGGACGCAAGCCCAGATAAGCAAATGAACAGTCTGGTGTTAATTAATGTAAATCCGACTGAAGGACGAAATGTGAGCAAATATTGCATGAAGTACAATGTGGCATGGGAGGTGTCAAAATATGAAAGGGGGATGCCAGCTTGGTCAATGCATGTTATAATTGAGCATTAACACAGATTATAAATTATATTCATATTCATACTAGAAAAATTGAATTGTACAATAATCTGGAGAGATTACCCAAGAGCACCTATATGCACCAAGTTTCTGTTGGCTCTTGAAATATTATTGGAACAGCCAAGAATTGGCTAATTATTATGCAAACTTGGTAATCAATATGCAGAGATTTCAACCAAAACCTTTTCATGTGTGGACATCATTCCTGGCAAGCATCTGTATGTACCAAGTTTCAATGAGTGGTTCACATTATACAAACACACATAATACTGGTACCCAAAGGTTTGGTTATTTTTTTTTATTTTCAAATATTCAGTCAAATACATAAATTATTAATATGCCGAATTGACAAGATCTGACAGGTTTAAACATCAACTGTTTAGAATAATTTTATCTTTAATTATATTTAGATGGAAACTGATATCGTTGTTAGACTCTGGGGACATAATAACAATATGTGGACTAACATAAAATATGATTTGTCTTGTAATATATATTAGCAAATTACGTGATATACCATCCTTCATGAAATGTCAATGGATGTTGTTTTCTCGTCTAGTGCTTGATTCTTAATTGTTCCCTTCCCTTGGAAAATTATGATAGGGAAATCATTTAGAGAAGCCACAGCCTTGCACTCTGCGAATTTTTTTATTTGCTGAACTTGTCGGAGAAGATTCACAAAGTCTATTATCTTGTTTAAACTACATCATTTTATTCAAGCCAGCAAAAATGACTGTATAAATGTGTTCAGCTCTAGTTCCACTTCAATAAACCCTCATGGTTAAACCCAGATAGAACTGAGATGGCCGACTATCTAAACAAGAATTTACCTGCAGTCAAGCCACCAGCTTGGCAGAACCATGGAGGTCCATGGCAGAACAAAATAAGCTGAACTTTAGATCATGTTATATTAATCTTCTGTTAATTTGAGGAAGAAGCAATAATTTGGCTCTGATAAAATGACGTACCAGTACGCTGTGTTAACGTAGCATATTATATCTCTTGCTGGTCCAGAAATCTATATTGTAACTACTCATTCTTTATTTTAGTTTAACGTAGAAATGCTGATCTTTCAGAGAAGAATATTGCTTTCAGATAAATTTATCAAAATTTACCACCATCAGAGGTGTATATAGCACATTATTGAGCATGGAAATACTCAAAACATTGCTACACGAATGTCAAATCACACCTGATATTTTGACGCTACTACAACGCTATGACCTTTGTCTGTCCTGTCCGATTTCACACATAATGCAAGATTTCACAGGGAAGAGAAACATAGTTGAACTCTGGTGACCTTGCCCTTTGTTATATAATATAATTCCCTTTATCATAGTTTGTTTCAATATAAATATGCATTGTCATAATTAATTTTGAATACAAACAAGTTTTGGGGTTGAACCAACAGTGGGGAATCAGTCTACCGAATGTCCTTAAAAGATGTAAATATCTTACAAAAACATTGGTGCCTTATTTGTTTAATTATTTTAAGGAACATAATTTCCAGCTTTATTGAAAGTAATTGAGATATTTTAGAATAAAAACAAATGTCTCATTGCAAAAAAAAAGTGCTGCATTTAGATGTGAATAGATTCATAAAACATGCAAGATAACAGAAAAATTTAGCTGGCTTTAGTTCAAGTATTTTGTACAGGTGTCTGTCAAAAATGAATGATTCACTGAGACAAATATGAACTGCCTCATTGTGTGACTACTGTATTATATGAAAAGTAAAAAAAAAACACCCTTTATGAATAGCTATCATGTTGCAAGCTCTGCTTTGTATGCAAATCAACTTAAATAGTTGGTGTCCAGTGGAGGGAGAAGTCAACAGTATTGTTGCCTCCTGAAAAACTACATCTTCAAACACTGCAATCTCTGAAGTGCGTTTTTAAACTAGTATTATGAAAACTCTATCATTCTGTTCTAATAGCTGAAACATATTCCTGTGAGTTTTCATTTGTCAAATGAACTGTTTGTCAAATACAGAATACATATATTTTAGAATAATTTTCTTTTTAAAATGTGGATGAAATGTTTTGCTTTTAATGTATTTTTTATGTATTGTTTTTGATTTGATAACTTTGAACTAAACAGATTTTCTATTAGCTTCAGATCTTGATCAAAGTTTGACACCCAGTTCATAGCAGTGCTTATATTGATTTTCTGACATCTTGTTTTCTGTAAAGATTTTATTGGTAGGTTTGCAAATGTGTATCAGACTGTGCAATCTCTCCATGAGTTGGTTTTGAAACCCAGTATGGGATTCTGAGATACATTACCAAGGATATTATTACAAGATAAATCATTTGCTTCATTGAACACATACAACAATGCATATTTCCACTGAGATCAGTGACCTTTGATGTGTATCACCAGTGATCAGTCAAGTAGAAATAGTCAAAATATTTTATCAGATTTTCTCAATTTTTGCATGATATTTTCATACAGGACATCTGTTGTTCAAACTCAGGGAAGACTTTATACTGATGAATAAGGTGACCAAGTTTGATAAAGTTTGGAATAGAATTAGTAAAGTTATTATGCACACAATAACAATTATTAACGACGACGATGACGACAACGACAACGACGACGACAACGCCGGACAAAATTTTTCCCTTAATATACCTTTCCCTTCCATCTTTGATGGCACGGGCAAGGTAAAAATGCTAAGACCTCAATGATATGGGGAAATCACAGTCACTGTGAATACAAGTTCAGGTTCCCATTTTTTTTTTATTTCCCTCATTTTCACATTCACCATGTGCTCACCAATTTCAATACTAATAGGTGAATATATTGTTACCAGTTAGCAGCAATAATAGTAAATAATATAGATACTTTTTATTACATACAAGTTCAATGCAACATTTTTATGGTACATAAAATTTGGATATGTTTCAACCAGCAACATATAAAAACTATCAAACTCAAAAAAAAAAACTAAATCGTGTAATAATTGGTATGCATGTTCAATTATATAAATTTGTTAAAATAAAAATCATGAATTTTTCTGGGCTGTGAAAATTTCAGACTTTCTGAAAATTTTGTTCATGAAGATGATAGGTTGAAATTGAACAATTTACAGCATGCAGTTATTTGACCAATTAATGAAAAACAAGTAATTGTCAATGACACGTCCCCGTTCCGTTCATATTTGAGTGACATATACATTCAAAGCAGATCATGACCAAAATGCACCTGCATATGTACAACACATTGTGCTAAATCTGAACAAAATCCATCCATGCATGACTGAGATCCGGTTCTGGAATTGTGAAAATACGTGATTTTGATGCATTTTTGGCCTTAAAATGGCCATCATTCCGCTATTGTTAAGCAGATCATGAAACAAATGCACATATCTATTTGTGACATGATGTACCATGTGTGTGTGAAGTTTGAACTTGATCAATCCAGACATGTCTTGGATACGGATCCAGAACTGAATTCTTTAACAAAATGGCCGCCAGTCGGCCA